CAACCAAGACTACATTCTTAAACAGAGTGATCAGGTTAAAATGTCCCCACTCTGTTCCCATTAAGTTTAGAAAATACCAGCAGCCTCAATATATTAACAATAGATAAACATTCGGACAGCATAATATTAAAAACAAATATTAAACACTTCTAGGAAGTATATAGTTATCTAGACTGATCTTACCCACAAAAAAATATGAGACTACTATAAAATGAGATTAGTAATTTTTTTCCACATTTCCTGATACAGCATTGAAGATTTTTACTATTCATTTAATTAATTAAAAATAATGTTTCTAAGAGTAGATGTAAGCTCACAAGAGATTCTCCTTGGGTTCAAAGGTAGGGAAGAAAGAAGAGTTATATCTGTAACTGCATAATAGGTTTTAGGGCCTTTAAGAAGTCCCATTTCAAGTGACATCCGGGCTATTATCACCAAAAAAACAAAAATGACAACAAGATGAAAAAACCCACAAGTACTTAACTCTGCTCTCAGGATCTGATTTAATTGTTCTGAGGAAGTAGGATAGCTGCCTAAAGATTGAGACTCATGAAGTAGTGTCAGAAATGCTCCACTTAAAACAGCCCTGGAGTTAGTCTAGGCTAGCTCCGTAGTAGGGATGTTGGAAAGCAATGAAAGATAAATTAAAAAGGCTTAGTTATCTGCTGAGCACCCTGGAAAACCTAATGCAGTTAGGAAGGGTCAGAAGATCTTTCGATCTTTCACAAGACCAGGATGAAATGAGGATATTAAAATATTTCAAGATGACAGACTGAGTACATGCTGTCTCCTTCTCCTTCTGCCCTAAATCCCTAGAAATGACTGAAGTATGAAAAATTATATAACTAGGTTAAAATATAAGAGCAAGTGTCTTCAGAAGACCAACACTCTTTAGGGAATAAAACTGTTCCCACCCGTATCAAAGAAGCTTATTCCTATGGTGTTAAAAAGAAAGACACAGGCTCAACATGGTGTCACTTCTGCTAGGTCAAGTCACCAAATTAGGTCCTAATACTTAAATCAATTACAACTTCAACCTCCCCCAGAAACTAGCCAGTCAGGAATTTTCTGGTCAGCATCATCAATAAAGATAATCTGTCACATGAACCTCCTCTATCTTCCCTAAAAGAGGATGGGTCACCTGCATTCTAAGTGTAGATTATAATAAGGGGAGGGAGTGTGTTCCTGGAGCTGGGTGAATAAACCGGTGTGACCAAAATCAGCCTAAGGAAAGGCTAGACTGGGGAGAAACCCGATGAGGCCGGGCTCCGTTCTTCCCCTAGGGCTGCTGCTGATTCACCTCCCCAGTCAGGAGTGGGCCTACTTCCCCACCAGCCCCTTCCAGGAGGAACTCCAGGGGCGCATGCCCAGTGACTGACAGGCACCAGACCAATTACATACCAGGAACAGAGGGGAGGAGAGAACAACTGTCCTCTCTCCACCCCTTGGTCCCAGAGGCTGTGGGGAGAAATACCTCTTGATATATAAATGGACTAGGACAGGTGGGGAATTCTGGAAATACTGCAATTTAACCCTATCTAAGACCCTCTGCTCTTACCCCTAATAGAAAGTGACCTTGCCTGAAACAATCCCTTCTTTTCTTTTTGCTAATAACTTTCCCCCCACCTTTCTGTCTATAAAAACCTTCCATTTTGTACAGTTCCTTGGAGCATCTCTCTACTAGCTCGAGGGGATGCTGCTCCATTCATGAGTTATTTAATGAAGCCAATTAGATCGCCAAATTTACTTAGATGAATTTTGTTTATTAACAGATAATAATCATGTCTTGGGATAGAAGAGATTGTTATATCTATTTTGTTCTTTGATTATTATTTCTACCAATTTCAGTATAGTAGTCACTGGGGGGCCGGTCCATTTTGGGGCTATTATCTGTGGCTCTGGTTTCAATCAATTTGTACTTGAAACAAAATAAACAAAACTTTTAAGCATATTCCTTGATGTGGAGAAAAATGGAAAAAAAGAAACATCCCCTATAGGCTAGTTCCTTACTTAAAAACATTCCCTTACAATCTTGCTCATATTGCTTTACTTTCAAGAGTGCAGGGCACCAGTCAGAATCTCTTAAGCATCAGCCCAGGCTGATTTGCTGATAACTGATCCACAGTATTGCTTACAGATTGTGATATAATGATTTATAAGAATTATATATTTGGTTATTCAGATGACCAAAATGTATTTCTCAGATATATTTGGTCTTCACCTGATGTTCCATAAAGGTGTTTCAGAGCCAAAAAGGTGAAATGCGTGTCTTGTTATGCTAATGCAGACTTTTGGACCCCATGGAGGACAACTACCAGTTGCCAGGGGGACCAACCATGGGATTAGAGGGTGGAAACTTTCAGCCCCGGCCCCCAACCCCAGGAGGTGGGAGGGCACAGGGGCTGGGCTGAATCAGCCAATGGCCAATGCCTTAGTCGATCATGACTATGCAATGTGCAATGAAGCCCTCACAAAAACCTGGAAGAACAGTATTTTTCCCCCTCCTTTTTACATTCTGCTTCTCTGTCAGAGAGATACCGCTTCCACTTGCCACCCAACCAGGCCCCAGGCTCACAAGGACAGAAGCTCCTTTATTTGGGACCTTGCCCTGTATATCTCTTGATCTGGCTGTTACTCTTTATTAAACTGGTAAACATGTTTTCCTGAATTCTGTGAGCCTCTCTAGCAAATTAATTGAACCTAATGGGGAGGTAGTGGGAACCACCAATCTGTAGCTGGTTAGTTAGAAGCACAGGGAATAGCCTGAGACTTGCATCTGGAGTCAGGTATGTGGTTTGGAGGGTGCGGGGGGGG